GAGAGCTCGGGCATAGGTTCTCTGGTAACAATCACGTTCAGGCTCGAGATAGCAGGAAGAGTTGTGGCTAGTGGATAGTTGTACAGAACTATCAATATAGGGCAGAGGTTTCATCCTTGGTTGATAAAGCAATCAGACATAATCATAGGGTTAACACATTTTTGTAAAACTATATATATATATATATATATATATATATATATAATCATACCTGCTCATAATCATATGCTGAACACAATCATATAAACCTACATACAATCACTTGTAATCACATGATGAACCCAATCATATTAACCTACATGCAATCACACAATCATATGCTAAACACAAATAACCCTACATACAATAACTTATAACAAAAATAACACACAATTACTGATCAAATCATCCTCCCACACTGCATCCAACTGTTGCATCAACATATCAAATTCATTTTATAACAGTGTGTTCCATTTGATATAGAGAGTATTCACTTATGTCTTCTTTCCCTGCTTTTACCCTTAAAAGGGTGGTTGGCACACTGTGTTGTGGGTTACAGCTAGGCTGTGATATCTGTACCTTGGATCTGCACTTTTGGCCCAACGCATCCTGTTTCAGCAAATATCTTTAAGGGACAGTAGGTTTATTCTTTGTTCCCTTGAAACTGGGTCCCTGAACCCACATGGGGGCTAGTCAAAGTAAAGGACCCTTTCCCACACCTCCAGGCATATAGGGCTAGACCTATATTTTATGGACTAATTGGCACTCAGTGGATGATGTGGTCAGCATCACGCCGGCCACCTTTACCTCCCACGACTTGCACCTGGGACTCATTTAAGGTTGGATCGACCTGGAAACCATGGTCCTGTTTGAAAAAAGGTTCAGATATATTTGGATTTGAACACATGACCTTCGGATCTACAGGTGAGCATCTAGCTGCTACACCCCGACAGCTGCTATGGGGAAAGAGCAATTTTAAAAATGGGGTCTTCACAACACCACTTCAGCATTATATTTTTAACCTCTTCCCCTGTAATTTTTCACTGCAAATGTTTTACTTGCAGGGCAATAGCTTTAAAACTCTCTGTGACAGAAAATGTTCATTTGGTTACAATGTGAATATTTTAAAATGGTGAGGTACCTGTGACATTTTTCTGAGATCCTACACACTTCTAGCTTAAACTCTTGTTGTCAAGCAGGAGTTGTCCAGGACCAATTATCAAACATGACTTTCATTTTCCGATCATCACATGGATTGACTTAAGCTGCTTTGAACTGAATGATTTCAGCCCTTAGGACATTCCCATACACACTCTGTCCTCCTCTCCAGCTGCCACTGAAGACTTCCAATGTCAACACCACTAGCCGGCAGTATGATTATATGTTTGACCTGCCTTTATTCTGAACATAGAGTGGAGGCTAGATTCCCCAATCACTCGCCGTTGCACCATTCTCTTGGCACCACAATTATCTGTTCATGCTTCAGCATTGTTCCCGTGCCCCCCAAAGGGCTTTGAGCATATCTAGCTTGCCAAGCATCAAATCACCGCTCAGTGGTGCAGCACCAGTTAGTCTGTCTGCCGATGCACTGGACCTACCAAACAACTGTATTTTCATAAAGGTCATAAACTGAGCATAAAGGTCAACAGACTAATAGACTGATGGACATTTGCTTCTTTCTCTTACACATTCTATATTTAGTATAATTACTGTTTAGAGATGTAAGCACAACTAGAACAAATTCCAGTAACTGTACTGTGATTTAAATGTTGCTGATGAAGTTTACTATTACAGTGCAGACCTGTTAAGGAGAAGTCACCAGGGATCCAAGAAACAGTTCTTCCTTTCAGCAATTCCTCTTATCCAGATAAGATTTCATGCAAGACAAATTGCCAGGGAAGAACACTTTGTCTTTGCCATATCCTTAAGTGGTAAGCACTGTACTATTACTACTATTGTTTTAATTCTCTATTAAATGGTATAGTTATAGGTAGGAGATTTGAAAGGAAATAGGCCAAAAGGACAGAACAGATTAGCCTGCATGCCCAAGTCTTAACCATTTGAAAATTGAGTTTGCTTATTCATTCCTTGACCTAAGGGACCATAAACTGAGAATATGTGGGACCTGCCACTAGCTCGATTCACAAATGGACATGAATAAAACCTGAGAAAGATCCATGGTATAAATGTTACATAAATGACCCACTCAGGCCACAGGCTTTATCACTCTTGGAATACTGATCCTTGAGAACAAATTAATTTAAAAACATGTTTAACAGGCATAAAAAGGCTGGTTTCAAATGGGGCAAGTTACCACTTGTGACATCTAACAAAGAAAAAAAACTCTGGATTTTTGTATTTGACAAAGATAGTTTATAGGTAAAGTCGGGAGATGTGAACCTGCATCCCCGCACACGGTTAAAAACCACAAGTGCTCTGCTGCTAGTACGGATAGCTGATATAAACAGCGACGTTCCTCCATTTTTGTGTTAACAGAGTGTTAACTCTGGTACCCATTATCTAGAGGGTGAACCCCAGGAACCGCCTGGTTTCGAACATGGGCTGTGGGCTGCAGCTAGTCGCAGCTGGATTTGAAAGTGAGTCTCCTATTGACTGCGCTAACTTTTAAAATCTACAAAATTAAAATGACTGTTTTTTTGGAAAACTAAGTCAAACTGAAGTAAACTCACGCAACTAGAGTATTAGGCAACAATTTTCTGATATTTCCTAGAAGTGCATGTTAACAACCGCAACACGGAAATTAAATTAAATAAGAAAAGTATAATAGTTACTGTCAGAGGTAAGATAAACATTATGCTGGAATTTAAAAAAAAAAAAATCACAAAACAAACTATTGATTTAAATTATCAAGAAAAGACACAAACCTCTGAGAAATCTGGCGTCACTACGATTTAATACTGCTACTTCTTCTTAGCATTCATGGTGTAAACTCCAGTGAAAAATCCAGCTTGTTTTTCCGCTTGAGTTTAAGGTGTATATCCATTATACAGATCTAGCTTATTTGTATGCAGACTGTTGGCTTGTAGCCTTTCAGGCATATTACACTCTGACTTCAAAGGTAACACTCCTAATTAGTTGAATCATAGGCCATGCTTGTTAGGGGAAAGGGGAGCAGTGGCTCTATCCCCCTTTCCCCCCAGCGGTGCACCAGAAACCACCCAAGGAAACAATACAAAATGGCTACCAACTTATGCAAATTGACATTTATATACACATCCAAATTAAGCGTTGATAAGTTTCCAATAATCTTGGTACTAATAAAAACACATAACAAGATCAGTGTTTATATTAATCTACAACAATCAGAACGCTGATATAAATTTAGATCAAACATGGGTCTTGAAATATTTAAACAAATACAGGGTACTTATCTTAGATATTCAACAGAGTAGAAGCTTGTCTAGACATCCAATAAAGTGGGAGCTTATTTATACATCCAGTAAATTACAAGTTTGTCTAGTCATACAACAAAGGGAGAGCTTATTTAGACATCCAACAAACTGGCAGCTTGCCTAGACATCAACCAACAAAGTGGAAGTTTAACTAGAAATCCAACAAACTGGTAGCTTGCATAGACATCCAACAAACCTAACGCTTATCTAGACATCAACAAAACAGGTGCTTATTCCAACAATCCTTAAACAAATCTGCCAGTACCATAAATTAAATAATATTGTACTGAAACAAAATAGTACTCAGGATAATATCATCCCCCCCCCCCCCCCAACTGTGTTGTTCTATTACCACATTTAGCCGTAATCCAGGTGGCACCCCCACGAATGGTTTTCGTTGTTTGTTACATAGATATTTATATCTTTTCATTTGCGCTCGCTGGCTGCTAACTCTGGTGGGATTTTTTGGATGTTTGCCCACTTTTGTCTTCCTCCACAACTTCATGTTTTATGTGTCTATTAGTTTAACAGATCTGTCTTATTTGTGTGCAGACCGTTGGTTCCTCACCTCTTAGTGAAGGAAGCACCTTAAACTAGTTAAGCTTTACAAGCGGATGTGAGAGCGCTGGGCGTGGCAGTAGGTTTATTGTCTTTTCCCTAAAAAGGGGGTCTCGGACCACACAAGGGGAGGATATTTCTTTCAGAACCTGTCTAGTATTAACTCTCACAGAGCTTAGTAATCAACTCAATACATGTTTACTGGCCACTCCTGACATGAAACGTTTCTATTTTAAAATATATTTGTCCTATTTTTTTTTTACACATCTCAGGACCTCAAGATTTCTTAACCCAGGTAATAAATGCGTGGGAATAAAGGGAGTTAACAAATAATGCCATGTAACAAGATTGCCAGCAGACCGGGCACCACAGAGAGCAATGTTATACAGATACAGCTGTAACAGAGCCAGAGGTCAACGATGTAGAAGATGGACCGCAGAAATATCAGAGACACTGAAAAGTACTTCATACAAAGTGAACAGAAGGACCCATTCCAGAGATCTCTTCCTGCCCTGACGCCGTGAAGCATTCGAGGAGGAGAGAAAAGAATATTAATAATAAATGCATGTGACTGAAAAGGTGAATGCAGATGTCATAATGCAAAGTAAACTTGTGCAATCACATCTATATATATATATATAATATACATATCATCTGTCTTTGACCCTCATATATCTTCCTTGAATATACAGTTCTAAATAATCTATCCCCTTTATGTAATATATACATTTGCAATCACATTTGACAGCATATTTACCGGCTTCTATTCAAAGACTTATATATAACTCTGAAATACTTCTTTTCATGTTAAGTATTCATTGCCTATCTTAAAAATACTGCTTATTTGAAACTACTGTTCGATGTTAAATATACATTTGCTACAGCTCAAGTCTTGACTATACCCTCTCAAAACTTCAACTGTCTCAACAGGAGTTTGGTATAGTTTAGAAAACAAAACATCCTGTATGAAAAAATATACTCCTTGCTAACTGGGTGATAAAATGAGGGCTCAAATATTGCAGCCTAAGTGGCAAGTCTGTCAACAACTACTCAAAATTCCCTGGCTATACAGTCTCCCAGTGTCAGACGGTAGTTGGCAATCTCCGAAATACCGTGGTAGTGGACAAATGCTGCAGCTAGAACAAATACGTGGAAAATCTGGTGACTCTGAAACTGAAGAATGAAATGAGCTGTCATATTTAGATGCAGAAAAGTGACATACTATAAGCTAATCATTATATTTAAACACAGAAAAATGACACACGAAAACCTAATAATTAAATTTAGACAGAAAAGTGATACATCAAAACCTAATTTTTACATTTAGGCACAGAAATGTGACACATGAAAACCTTATAATTAAATTCATTCATTCAGTAGCATGTCCCTCGCGGAACCTCGCTGCCATAACAACCCTCCGGAAAACCTTCCTATCCTGAGCAAGATGTCCTGCGTCTGATACACCCATCTGGAGATCATCTGCCACATCCTGCACCCATCTTCTCCTTGGCCTTCCTCTTCCTCTCTTCCCAGGCATATACCCCTCCATTATTGTTCTCTCTAGACTTCCATGACGTTTCAAGTGACCAAAATATTTCAATTTTCTTTGTTTTATTGTCTTTACTAGCCAACCCTCTTCAATATTCATAATTAAATTAGAGACATAAAAATGGCAGGTCAAAACCGAAAGTAAAAACAACAGTTTTAGACTAGACTTTTGTTTAGAACAAGTAAAAACAGTTTTAGTCCAGACTTTTGTTTAGAACAAGTAACAACAGTTTTAGTCCAGACTTTTGTTTAGAACAAATAACAACAGTTTTAGACTAGACTTTTGTTTAGAACAAGTAACAACAGTTTTAGACTAGACTTTTGTTTAGAACAAGTAACAACAGTTTTAGACCAGAATTTTGTTTAGAACAAGTAACAACAGTTTTAGACCAGACTTTTGTTCTCAGGTCCTAATCTCTTTCAAGGTGAGACTTTCATACCTCTGTCTGAAAATCACAAGATGCCCCTACACCTAAAAAAACAAAAACTGTTCACCTCAGGAAACAAACCCCAACACTCAAGGATTATGAAACTGTCAACAGCCTTCGCTAACCCTGATCAAGTAAAAGCTGCTTCTGGTAGAATAAACCGAAATAAGAACTGTCTACGACCAAAAGAGCTTCAATAACCTCACGAGTTGTATACGTACCCAGATGTCAAATTTGCCAGGAAAGATCCTCTCAGGGATTCTGGCAGCATAGATGACAGCACCCACAATATACAGCAAGGCCATGAGAAGCAGCCAGCCCAGGGCAGCAAAGTTGATGGCGTGCCAGAAGCCATCTGTGATCACATAGTGCATGGCAGGGATCACCCCACTCAGTCCCAGCGCCACAAACACACCTGTACAGCAAAAACACATTCAGGACACCCTTCAGATTATGTTAGAAACTAAATATGGCAAGCAACCACATGCAGTGGACTTACTGGACAGCATCCCTGCCTGCTGACTCAGTGGTTTCGTACTGACTTCATCATCATCATCCTGTTATATGTCATACAGGGCTCACAGTCTAATTCTTCATTTCGTTTTATCCTGTGCAATCATTTTAATATCAATGAAATCTAGTCCAGCCCATTTGGTCTCTCTCTCTCTCTCTCTCTCTCTCAACAATGTTTATCTTAGGTCCTCTCTTAGATGTCCTTCCTTCCTCAACCCATTTGTTTCCCATTTCGGTGCTTGTTTAGAGACTCTCTGCTGCTTCTCTTCATGATATGCTCAATATATTGACCATCATCTTATAACCACTGACTGAAGCAGTTGTAAAGGTGTTCTCGTATTCCTTCACTGTTAATGTTCACTAATTTCTTTAGGAATTTGTTTTTGAATGCATTTAACTTTATTTTAATATCTTTAGCCATTCTGCAAATTTCACTAGTATACATTAAAACTAAAAAAATATTAGAATTACACCAACAACAACAAAAGACAAAAAAACTTGGTTTTCAAACTATACAATTTAGAGTTCCATACTATGTTCAGGCTTTGGAAGGTTGCTAATACCTTGTCAACATATATCTATGTAATTCCCCTCTCCCACTCCAAATAATATTAATTTTGGGGGGTGGGGGTCGATATAATCATGCCAACCATGAAAGCATACTGCAACCAGTACCAAGGCTGTTTATATCGGTGTAGTGGCCACCGATGACTTCACATCATCAGAAACTGCAAAAAGCCAGGAAAATGGCTTTCCTGGCAGGGTCAAACTAGCCAGCATTGCTTGTCTCAGTCTGCTTGTGCAGATCTTTCCAGTGTTGCTTTGATCTGGCTTTGGTGGATCCATCAGTCAATCTGCTGCAGATCTTTTCAGTGTTGCTTTGATCTGGCTTTGGTGGATCCATCAGTCAATTTGCTGGTTCCCTCCAGGCTTCTACTTACAGGTTTAAAATATTATCCTGACACATTTTTTTTAAAAATCTCATTTTGGATGGTAGATCTCAGACACCATGTACAAGATAGGACATAGAGTGAGCTGTATAAGATAGGACATAGAGTGAGCTGTACAAGATAGGACATAAAGTAAGCTGTAGAAGATAGGACATAAAGTGAGCTGTACAAGATAGGACATAAAGTAAGCTGTACAAGATAGGACATAAAGTAAGCTGTAGAAGATAGGACATAAAGTAAGCTGTACAAGATAGGACATAAAGTAAGCTGTACAAGATAGGACATAAAGTGAGCTGTACAAGATAGGACATAAAGTGAGCTGTATAAGATAGGACATAGAGTGAGCTGTACAAGATAGGACATAAAGTGAGCTGTACAAGATAGGACATAAAGTAAGCTGTACAAGATAGGACATAGAGTGAGCTGTATAAGATAGGACATAGAGTGAGCTGTACAAGATAGGACATAAAGTAAGCTGTAGAAGATAGGACATAAAGTAAGCTGTACAAGATAGGACATAAAGTAAGCTGTACAAGATAGGACATAGAGTGAGCTGTACAAGATAGGACATAGAGTGAGCTGTACAAGATAGGACATAAAGTGAGCTGTACAAGATAAGACGTAAAGTGAGCTGTACAAGATAGGACATAAAGTGAGCTGTACAAGATAGGACATAAAGTGAGCTGTACAAGATAGGACATAAAGTGAGCTGTACAAGATAGGACGTAAAGTGAGCTGTTCAAGATAGGACATAAAGTAAGCTGTACAAGATAGGACGTAAAGTGAGCTGTACAAGATGGGACACAAATTAAGCTGTACAAGATAGGACATAAAGTAAGGACATAAAGTAAGCTGTACAAGATAGGACATAAAGTGAGCTGTACAAGATAGGACATAAAGTGAGCTGTACAAGATAGGACGTAAAGTGAGCTGTACAAGATAGGACATAAAGTGAGCTGTACAAGATAGGACATAAAGTGAGCTGTTCAAGATAGGACATAAAGTGAGCTGTTCAATATAGGACACATATGTGAGCTGTACAAGATAAGACATAAATGTGAGCTGTACAGGATAGGACATAAAGTGAGCTGTTCAATATAGGACATAAAGTAAGCTGTACAAGATAGGTCATAAAGTAAGCTGTACAAGATAGGACATAAAGTAAGCTGTTCAATATAGGACACATATGTGAGCTGTACAAGATAAGACATAAAGTAAGCTGTACAAGATAGGACATAAAGTAAGCTGTACAAAATAGGACATAAAGTGAGCTGTTCAATATAGGACACATATGTGAGCTGTACAAGATAAGACATAAATGTGAGCTGTACAAGAGAGGACATAAAGTGAGATGTATAAGGTAGGACATAAAGTAAGCTGTACAAGATAGGACATAAAGTAAGCTGTACAAGATAGGACATAAAGTGAGCTGTACAAGATAGGACATAAAGTGAGCTGTACAAGATAGGACATAAAGTAAGCTGTACAAGATAGGACATAAAGTGAGCTGTATAAGATAGGACATAAAGTGAGCTGTATAAGATAGGACATAAAGTGAGCTGTACAAGATAGGACATAAAGTAAGCTGTACAAGATAGGACATAAAGTGAGCTGTTAGATACAGGACATAAAGTGAGCTGTACAAGATAGGACGTAAAGTGAGCTGTACAAGATAGGACATAAAGTAAGCTGTACAAGATAGGTCATAAAGTAAGCTGTACAAGATAGGACATAATGTGAGCTGTACAAGATAGGACATAAAGTGAGCTGTTCAAGATAGGACATAAAGTAAGCTGTATAAGATAGGACATAAAGTAAGCTGTACAAGAGAGGACACATATGTGAGCTGTACAAGAGAGGACATAAAGTGAGCTGTACAAGAGAGGACATAAAGTGAGCTGTATAAGATAGGACATAAAGTAAGCTGTACAAGATAGGACATAAAGTGAGCTGTACAAGATAGGACATAAAGTGAGCTGTATAAGATAGGACATAAAGTAAGCTGTACAAGATAGGACATAATGTGAGCTGTACAAGATAGGACATAAAGTGAGCTGTTCAAGATTGGACATAAAGTAATCTGTACAAGATAGGACAAGTTGGTGACAGGTAGCTGACAGCTATTTCCCACCGAGTAATAAAGAGCAGAAAATGAAGCCAGATGATTAACCACTGTGCCAGTTAAGCTAATCATTTTTTTCCCCTGTTACCAAACTACCTGGTGCATTCCTTACCTGCCCTTAGAGGTCTGTACTGAGGCTGTGAAAATTTGTCCCACATGGACACCACGATGCAGATTGTACCCAGAAAAAATATCAGTGCCAGGTATGTGACCTTGGGTTCTAGACGACAGTAGAAGCTGTAGTAGAGCCACGGAACAAAGGAGCCGATGGTAAGCAGAGCAATACCACAGTAATCCAACCTGGCAATTAGAAATAAAAGAACAATCTTCAGCAATTACTTCTTGGGAAGATTTTCCTATCCTCGAAAGGGTTGAACTGTAGTAAAGTTGAGCTGAGCCAACTGACAAAATCACAAAGTGGAATGGTGACTTTTACACAAATATAAGTGAAATAATAGATATTGTGACTACAAAGCGTTCTTCAGCACTCATAAAAATATATATATTAGATGTTGTTGTTTTGGGGCACCACTGCTGGGTAAACCCAGTGTCTTGCCAACAAGCATGTCATAGGAGTCCACAAACTGGAGACTTCCTTTGAAGTCAAGGGCATCTGCCCGAGTGGCAAGGAACAACCAACTGCACACAAATAAGCCAGTAAAAATGGATGTTAATGCAAAACTCAGGCCCTGGCACAAAGCCAAAGTCCAAATGGACGAACAACCTTGACTTTCCACCGAAGAACAAAGCAGAAGAAGAAGATGCAAATAATGCAAACAACAAATCAATCATGATTGTTCTTTAAATGCAGACATTGTTAATGCCATTAGAGAGGTAGGACAATATGAGGATTTTGGGAGCAGCATATCCTCATCTTTGCTAAGAGTGCAAGAACTGGGAGTAAAGATCGGCACCGTCAGGCATGAGAAGCACATCAGTCACATGAGGACTGGGCCTATCAACCCCAGGACGCTGATGTATATATTGAAGGGGGAATCTGAGCCCCTGGGGACATGTCGGGAGTGCCGTGAAGATAACCCAGATCATAATTAATAACTCTTTAAATGCTCATTATATAAAAAACCAGCTCAATAATCCAAAGATTCTGTGTTTGGTGTCCAGTTGACCTGTGCTTGATTAATACAGATTACTGAATCAGGGCAGTATAACAATAGCTGGGTAAAAATTCTGTGCATATTCCATAACTGATGATTCCTTAGGGTGTCAAGATGCTTATGTGCCTAATTATGAAGTTTTTTTTTTAAAACCTGTAGGTGCTAAAAATACAATTACCTAGAGGTATGAAAAGCTAATCCCCTTCAAAGCTGGCTTCTTGAGGCCACACAGTTCTTCGAGTGGCCTCACCACTGTTGGAAACATTTCAGGAAAACCTCTTTCGGAGTGGAGTACAGCTCAGCTTTTGCATTCTGCATATCTTTTCTTGACTCAAAATAGATCCTCTTTAAGGAGCATGTTCGGCTAGGCAGAAATGTCAAAAATCCCAAGGCAGTAAGCATGCTAATTAGCAAGGATCACCATCTCAGCACTCCAGACACATCCATAAGTGCTCTAATCCCCTCCTCAATAGCCCCTCAAGCAAAAAGCGACTGGTAACAACACCTGTTCTGTGTTGATTAATCAAACATCTTGTGCAAGGCACTACAATGGGAGAGTAAGGGGTACAACTCAGAGAAAGACTGTTTGACCAAGAAATTCTTAATCTTACATGAAGAATGAGTGGGTGTATAAAGTGATAAAGCTTGCCAAATGATCTTTTAGCTGGGAATGGTCACTGTGCAGTGAATATGGAGTGATAGCCAACAACATAACATACAACATAATAATAACACAACAGATAATATAACATAGGCACATACTTGCTAACCTGTCCACCTGCTCACTATGGCTGTAAACTGTATAACAAACAACATAATACAATAATAACATAACAGATAACATAATATAAGCACTTACTTGTTGAAGAACCTGCCCACCTGCGCATTGTGGCAGCAAACTGTATAACAAACAACACATTACAATAATAACATAACAGATAACATAATATAAGCACTTACTTGTTGAAGAACCTGCCCACCTGCGCATTGTGGCAGCAAACTGTATAACAAACAACACATTACAATAATAACATAACAGATAACATAATATAAGCACTTACTTGTTGAAGAACCTGCCCACCTGCGCATTGTGGCAGCAAACTGTATAACAAACAACACATTACAATAATAACATAACAGATAAAATGATATAAGCACTTACTTGTTGAAGAACCTGCCCACCTGCGCATTGTGGCAGCAAACTGTATAACAAACAACATAATACAATAATAACATAACAGATAACATAATATAAGAACTTACTTGTTGAAGAACCTGCCCACCTGCGCATTGTGGCAGCAAACTGTATAACAAACAACACATTACAATAATAACATAACAGATAAAATGATATAAGCACTTACTTGTTGAAGAACCTGCCCACCTGCGCATTGTGGCAGCAAACTGTATAACAAACAACACATTACAATAATAACATAACAGATAAAATGATATAAGCACTTACTTGTTGAAGAACCTGCCCACCTGCGCATTGTGGCAGCAAACTGTATAACAAACAACATAATACAATAATAACATAACAGATAACATAATATAAGAACTTACTTGTTGAAGAACCTGCCCACCTGCGCATTGTGGCAGCAAACTGTATAACAAACAACACATTACAATAATAACATAACAGATAAAATGATATAAGCACTTACTTGTTGAAGAACCTGCCCACCCGCTCACTGTGGCAGTAAACGGTATGGAAAATCCAGGAGAAACATAAACAGAGAATGGCTCCAGTGAAGAATGCAGAAAACACAGCTTTCTCCTGCCACTGAATCTCGATTGAGGGCCGTGACAGAAAGTAGGCAGCTATGCCAAGGAAGGCTATCATACCTGGCCAGGGAAGAAGTCGATAAAAATTATACTTATTTTAAGAAATACAACATACATATACAGAAACTCTGTCAATTATTATGAGTATACACAGACATCTGCTCATCCTCCTTTCACACATTTTAAAACCACAAGCACAAATTTTTACTGACACCACAGCACTCAGGACATTCTCATAAGTGCTCTGTTCTCATCTTCAGCAGCCAGCACAAAGCATTCAAATGTTGATGGTACCTGCTGCAGTTTGATTATGAGGGGAAGTCAATTAGTAAGTCGCAAATGCTTGTACAAATAAAACAAAAAAATAAAAAAGATGAAAACCGTTTATTTTTCACATATACACTATATTTTTATTTTTCAACATAATTTCCACCAACAATGATGTACTAGTCCCATCGTTTTATCAGTCCTCCCAAACCTGTTGCATAGAACTGCACGCTCTGTTTTCTAAACACAGTTTTCACATTCAACTTCTCTGTCATCTGTGAAATGTCTCTCACCAAGGTGGGTTTTCAGTGGACCAGAAAGGTGTAAATCTCTAGCAGCTAGGTTGGGGCTGTAAGGTGGATGTTCTAGAAGTTCCCGCACTAGATGGTTTATTTTGTTGTGAGCTAACCTAGTTATATGTGGTCAGGCATTGTCATTAGGGAGCAGTACTCGTTGAGTCAACAGGATGACCAGATATGACTTCATCAACAATTTTAGAGCATGCCTGAGAAATTTGTTTACCCAGATATGCACCGCTTTAAAGAAAAACATTTCTCAGCATAAACAGTTGACATTTTATAACTTTGCAACACAGTTGATTAAGTCTAACCACAAACAATAGGTTAAATAAACTCATTATAAGAGATACGGACACATACATAAACTGTTTAAAGCTTTATGCAGCCACACACTAATGTGTTGTAACGTACAGTTTGGAAAGCTCTGGTCACGCCTTGCCGCACCATTCACTCCTCAACCCAATACAAGTGAGAAGATAGCGGCGGTCTGAGAAAGTTTACAACCAGAGCAAAAGACACTGTTGGAAAGTTTACAACCAGAGCAAAAGACACTGTTGGAAAGTTTACAACCAGAGCAAAAGACACTGTTGGAAAGTTTACAACCAGAGCAAAAGACACTGTTGGAAAGTTTACAACCAGAGCAAAAGACACTGTTGGAAAGTTTACAACCAGAGCAAAAGACACTGTTGGAAGGTTTACAACCAGAGCAAAAGACACTGTTGGAGATTAATTGTAGCCAACCTTCACCGTAGAGACCACAACTGATTATGGACCCACGTATACAGACAGCTTTAATGGTGTACTGGTCAGACCCTTGCCTGAAGATCTGAATGTCTTGAGTTTTAATACAGATAATTTTTTCAAAACATGATCTTGGCTCCAACGTTGACCCAACCTTAAATGGGTACCAGTTAAAGTCCTGGGAAGTAAAGGTGGCAGACATGAAGCTGACAGTGCTAAAGAGCCTATAAAAATATGAGTCCGGCCTGACAGACTCAATGAGCCGCTGGCGTGTGAAGGGACCGTTACTTACTTGACATGGATGGATGACCACAATGATACTTGCCCAGTAAATGTGTCCAGATATTTCCTGTCTCAGTGTGTATCCTGAATATTGATTTAAAACATGCCAGAAAGGAATTGGTTGGAACTCGATGACCTCGAAGCAAGAAATCGTTATCTTTGAGCCAATCTGGCAACGTGTGGTGGTGAGCTACATTCCATCCCGCAGCCCAGACCTTAAACAGAAAAAAAATAAAAGGTTATTTCTCTTTTAACCCTGAGACACAAGCAACTGAACAAAACAAAATCAGCAGCCACATGCACAGAACATTCAAGAAAAAGGCCCCAGAACTTTGCCCATGATGTCAGGCACCAGAGAATACCGAACACGTGCTACAGACATGCTCTCTACATGCAGTCAGCAGATCCTGTATCCAACCAGTTAGTATTCCAGTGAAGATCAAGCTGTCTGGAACTGTGAAAGACATGCATCTAACCAAAGATTTTCATAGAGGGCATTGACCTTTTCATATGAACACCAGTGGCAGGGAGAAAAAGAGAAAGAAGAAAGAAAGAAGAAGGGAGGGAGGAAAAGAAGAGGAGGAAAGCGAGCAAGGAACAAAATTATTTTCTGCATTAAATTAACAACTAAGAACAAAGTTACAGATTGTTGTTCTCCTGGTTTCTCATCCATACAGCAGTGCTGTAACGTGTGTATCACATATAATCAGTCAGATACTCGGTTACCCCATTTTCCTACTTCTATTAAAGCTCCCATTGCCTTTATTTCAATAAATCCAAGCCAAAGACTTTAAGAAAAAAAAGTTACTTAATAGTTCAGGTTCCTGGCTTTCCAAGTTTCTGACGGAAGAAAACTTCTGTTAAAATTCCATTTTTTTAATTTTAAATTTCACAGTAATAGTATACCCAGCTTTAATCATCTACTTTCTGCAATCGTTAGGGTCAGTGGCTTAATGGCAGTGTCTAATCATGTCTGCAATCAGGCACTTTAGGGTCGGTTACTTAATGGCAGTGTCTAATCATGTCTGCAATCAGGCACTTTAGGGTCGGTTACTTAATGGCAGTGTCTAATCATGTCTGCAATCAGGCACTTTAGGGTCGGTTACTTAATGGCAGTGTCTTATCATGTCTGCAGTCAGGCACTTTAGGGTCGGTTACTTAATGGCAGTGTCTTATCATGTCTGCAATCAGGCCCTTTAGGGTTGGTGGCTTAATGGCAGTGTCTTATCATGTCTGCAATCAGGCACTTTAGGGTCGGTTACTTAATGGCAGTGTCTAATCATGTCTGCAATCAGGCACTTTAGGGTCGGTTACTTAATGGCAGTGTCTAATCATGTCTGCAATCATGCACTTTAGGGTCAGTTACTTAATGGCAGTGTCTAATCATGTCTGCAATCAGGCACTTTAGGGTCAGTTACTTAATGGCAGTGTCTAATCATGTCTGCAATCATGCACTTTAGGGTCAGTTACTTAATGGCAGTGTCTAATCATGTCTGCAATCAGGCACTTTAGCGTTGGTGGCTTAATGGCAGTGTCTTATCATGTCTGCATTTAGGCACTTTAGGGTCAGTTACTTAATGGCAGTGTCTAATCATGTCTGCAATCAGGCACTTTAGGGTCGGTTACTTAATGGCAGTGTCTAATCATGTCTGCAATCAGGCACTTTAGGGTCGGTTACTTAATGGCAGTGTCTAATCATGTCTGCAATCATGCACTTTAGGGTTGGTGGCTTAATGGCAGTGTCTAATCATGTCTGCAATCAGGCACTTTAGGGTCGGTTACTTAATGGCAGTGTCTAATCATGTCTGCAATCAGGCACTTTAGGGTCGGTTACTTAATGGCAGTGTCTAATCATGTCTGCAATCAGGCACTTTAGGGTCGGTTACTTAATGGCAGTGTCTAATCATGTCTGCAATCATGCACTTTAGGGTTGGTGGCTTAATGGCAGTGTCTAATCATGTCTGCAATCAGGCACTTTAGGGTCGGTTACTTAATGGCAGTGTCTAATCATGTCTGCAATCAGGCACTTTAGGGTCGGTTACTTAATGGCAGTGTCTAATCATGTCTGCAATCAGGCACTTTAGGGTCGGTTACTTAATGGGAGTGTCTAATCATGTCTGCAATCAGGCACTTTAGGGTCGGTTACTTAATGGCAGTGTCTAATCATGTCTGCAATCAGGCCCTTTAGGGTTGGTGGCATAATGGCAGTGTCTAATTATGTCTGCAATCAGGCCCTTTAGGGTTGGTGGCTAAATGGCACTGTCTTATCATGTCTGCAATCAGGCACTTTAGGGTCAGTGGCTTAATGGCAGTGTCTAATCATGTCTGCAATCAGGCCCTTTAGGGTTGGTGGCATAATGGCAGTGTCTTATCATGTCTGCAATCAGGCACTTTAGGGTCAGTGGCTTAATGGCAGTGTCTAATCATGTCTGCAATCAGGCCCTTTAGGGTTGGTGGCTAAATGGCACTGTCTTATCATGTCTGCAATCAGGCTCTTTAGGGACGGTAGCTTAATGGCAGTGTCTTATCATGTCTGCAATCAGGCACTTTAGGGTCGGTTACTCAATGGCAGTGTCTTATCATGTCTGCAATCAGGCACTTTAGGGTCGGTTACTCAATGGCAGTGTCTTATCATGTCTGCAATCGGGCACTTTAGGGTCGGTTACTCAATGGCACTGTCTTATCATGTCTGCAATCAGGCCCTTTAGGGACGGTGGCTTAATGGCAGTGTCTTATCATGTCTGCAATCAGGCACTTTTGGGTCGGTTACTCAATGGCAGTGTCTTATCATGTCTGCAATCAGGCCCTTTAGGGACGGTGGCTTAATGGCAGTGTCTTATCATGTCTGCATTTAGGCACTTTAGGGTCGGTTACTCAATGGCAGTGTCTAATCATGTCTGCAATCAGGCCCTTTAGGGACGGTGGCTTAATGGCAGTGTCTTATCATGTCTGCAATCAGGCACTTTAGGGTCGGTGGCTTAATGGCAGTGTCTAATCATGTCTGTAATCAGGCACTTTAGGGTCGGTTACTCAATGGCAGTGTCTAATCATGTCTGCAACCAGGCACTTTAGGGTCAGTTACTTAATGGCAAAGTCTAATCATGTCTGCAATCATGCACTTTAGGGTCAGTTACCTAATGGCAGTGTCTAATCATGTCTGCAATCAGGCACTTTAGTGTCAGTTACTTAATGGCAGTGTCTAATCATGTCTGCAATCAGGCACTTTAGGGTTGGTGGCTTAATGGCAGTGTCTAATCATGTCTGCAATCAGGCCCTTTAGGGTTGGTGGCATAATGGCAGTGTCTTATCATGTCTGCAATCAGGCACTTTAGGGTCAGTGGCTTAATGGCAGTGTCTAATTATGTCTGCAATCAGGCCCTTTAGGGTTGGTGGCTTAATGGCAGTGTCTAACCATGTCTGCAATCAGGCCCTTTAGGGTTGGTGGCTAAATGGCACTGTCTTATCATGTCTGCAATCAGGCTCTTTAGGGACGGTGGCTTAATGGCAGTGTCTTATCATGTCTGCAATCAGGCACTTTAGGGTCGGTTACTCAATGGCAGTGTCTAATCTTTCAGATTAGGGTCGGCTACAAAATGGTGGTGTCTCACCAAGCAATTTAAAGAGGGTTTCAAGATGGTGGTGTCTGTTTAAGCAGTTTTGAGTTAGCTAAAAGGCGGTAGTGTCTGATCAAGCAGTGTAGAGTTGGCTACAAGATAGTAGTGTCTGATCATCAAACGGTTTAGAGTTAGCTACAAGATAGTAGTGTCTGATCAAACGGTTTAGAGTTGGCTTCAAGATAGTAGTGTCTGATCAAGCAGTTTAGAGTTAGCTACAAGACAGTAGTGTCTGATCAAATCGTTTAGAGTTAGCTACAAGATAGTAGTGTCTTATCAAACGGTTTAGAGTTGGCTACAAGATAGTAGTGTCTGATCAAACGGTTTAGAGTTGGCTACAAGATAGTAGTGTCTGATTAAGCGGTTTAGAGTTGGCTACAAGATAGTAGTGTCTGATCAAGCAGTTGGATACAAGAAGGTAGTGTCTGATCATGCAGTTTAGAGTAGGTTACAAGATGGTAGTGTTTCATCAAGCACTTTAGAGTGGGTTATAATATGGTAGTATCTTATTAAGTATTTTAGAGTGGGTTACTTAATCATAGTGTCTGATTAGGCAGTTTTGAGTTGGCTAAAAGACGGTATGGCAGTGTCTGATCAAGTAGCTTAGAGTGGGTTACAAGGTGGCAGTATCTGATTAATCAAATTAGAGTGGGTTACAAGGTGGCAGTGTTTGATCAAGCAAATTAGAGTGGGTTACAAGGTGGCAGTGTTTGATCAAGCAAATTAGAGTGGGTTACAAGGTGGCAGTGTCTGACAAGCAGATTAGAGTGGGTTACAAGGTGGCAGTGTCTGATCAAGTAAATTAGAGTGGGTTACAAGGTGGCAGTGTCTGATCAGGCAGATTAGAGTGGGTTACAAGGTGGCAGTGTTTGATCAAGCAAATTAGAGTGGGTTACAAGGTGGCAGTGTTTGATCAAGCAAATTAGAGTGGGTTACAAGGTGGCAGTGTCTGACAAGCAGATTAGAGTGGGTTACAAGGTGGCAGTGTCAGATCAAGCAGATTAGAGTGAGTTACAAGGTTTCAGTGTTTGATCAAGCAGATTAGAGTGGGTTACAAGACACAGCATCTAATCAAGCAGATCAGAGTGGGTTACAAGATGGCAACGTATGCACTCTTTCTTCTTTCACAGCACTGCTGCAAACCTAAGCTGCCATACTGTTCGACTCACTGGGCAAACATGGTAAAAAAACTGTGACTTCCATTACATCTACAAAACAATACACTACACACCACACACACAAACCAAATAGATAAATTAGAACTGTTAAGATTAACATTAGCTTAAGTAAAATCTAAACCAGGTACACCCTTACCTTGGTGACGAGGTTATGATTTCCAACTCCCTACTGGGATGACATGGCTTTTCTAGCTCCTGTGTTTTCAATTTTGTGTGTAATTTGAATCAGTGAATTAACAGCGATTGTTATATCTCTTTCACCATTATTCTGTCGGGTTGCAGTAAAATACTGTGTTTAGCATTGTGGATCATCATTCTGTGGAAACTGTGGTTTTGTGTGATATTTTCAAGCAAACTGATAGAAGAAAAGGGAAATGATAACCTCTTGAATGGAGGTCGGTGGGCGTGCCTCAGCGCTGATTT